TATATTTTATAACATTTTTATCTTACACATTAACTACTTGATATAAATTAGATCAAATTATTGGCCATATTTTTGAAAGAAAAATTAATGTGTAAATTTCAGGATGAGTCAAGTTTTTGGCACTGTTACCCGGGATTTAAATTTACATATATCATATAAAAAAACAACACACACCAAGGGTGCATCAAGTTTTTGGCGCCATTGCCGGGGAGCTTCGATAAGAACTTTAAAAGAATTTTAGTTAAACCTGTAAAACTTAAACTTAGAATTTATAGTATTATTATATAGTGTGTTTAATTATTTTGTGTTTATTTAAAAAAAAAACAAAAATACCAAAAATATTTTTTATATCTATCTTATAAGTTAATTCTTTAGATTTGTATGTGTAGTTCAGGAGCTGTAGACCTAGAATTTTACAAGCCAATTTTGGAGAGAACTTTTGGGAGAGATTTTAAAAGACTCCATGAATTTAATGTAGAATTGGCAGAATAACAATATAATGAATGTTCAGATATGGACTATAATGCTAGTAGCTTTGAAAGAAAAAATCCCAAGAGAGTGGAAATTTTTCAAGTAGATATTCTTACAATTTTAATTTTTCGGGTTGCAAATATTGAGAGGAAGTTTGATCAATACATACAAAGGTTTCCTTAAGGAATCCAAATTATTGAGGAAAATGCTTTTGGAAAATGGATTGAAACTGACCATGAGATACATAATTCTTATTCTGATTATTAAAATCCAGGTTGGGAATATCATTTGAATTTTAACTGGAATAATAATTTTGGAGGAGAAGACCAAGTTTCAGAAGATAATCAATTTAATCAGACATGTAGCTGGAATAATCAGGGCTATTATAGTAATGAACTTTCTTTTCCTCATGGATTTAGCTCTTACCCACATAATGAAGGGAAAGATTTATTAGAAGAGATTGTTATTGAAATGGAGAGTAAGTTGGAGTATCAAGGGACGGTAATAAGGAATATGGAAAAGTAATTGGGGCAGATTATTAGCTTAATTAATAATTCTCCTAAATTTAACTCCAACCCACAGAGTGAGGATAAGGAATTAATGTTAGAGAAGGTTGTTATTCAAATGAAGAGCAATAAAGAATATAGAAAACCAACTAGGGCATATTATTAATGAAATTAACAGTTACCCCTTAGAGATTTTACCTAGTGACCCTGAGATAAACCCTAAGGGGATGAATGTTGAGCAATTTAAAATTATTGAACTAATATTTAGAAGAGAATTTGAGGATATGTTTCAAAAGAACTTTGAGTTGAGAGATGAGATTGAAAGACCAATGGAAAAAATTCCTAAGGAATTAGAAAAACCTATTTCCTTAACTAAGATAAATATAGAAAGCCTACCTCTACCAATTACTCAGTACCAAGGGGAGGAATTGAAAGACAACCCTGAACAAAAGAGTAACCTAGAAGAATTTTATCTAAAATTTGAATTACTAGAGAATCCAATCGAAATTTTGGGAGATTTTGAGGTGTCTTATAAAGATCCATTTCTTATAAAATTTAAGGATGATATTAATATGAAATTTGATAAAATCACTAAAGTAATATTGGATTTAGAAATAAATATGAGGAATATAGATATGAATTAATCTGAAAAGGAAGTGCTGAAAGAAAATTTTAAATTCAAGGTCTTTGTAGGAATCTCTGGATCTAGAAAAGATTGGGTGATTGATCAAGGATTACTTAAATGAAATTTTGATCCAGGTGGAATCATTTATTGGGCTAGCGACGTTAAACAATGCGTGTTATGGGAGGCAACCCATAGTTATCAGTGTGGTTTGATTTAGTATGCTTGAGAATCATGATTGTTAGTGTTATACTATTTTTGCTTTAGTGTGGATTAATGAGTTTGATCGATGATTAATAGATGTTTGGATTATTAGTGGTTTGATTTAATTTTTGTATGTCAAGAGGGAGGTGAATCCTTAACTTCTTATTATGGCAAGACGTATATATTCTCTTGTAGAAGTTAGATTGACGAGTCCACTATGACCCCGGACTCACCCAGACTTGAGTTTTTCAAGAGACATCATGAACTTTAATAGTGACAGTTCCCTCTCAATTTTGTTACTTCTTTTCTCCAATTTTTTTTTTCATTTGATATGAGTATCTAACATATTTGACGAGTAACATGTGGATGAATTTACACTATCCTTATAACTGCTAGAGGTGTTAAATTAAGAAATATGGTGATGTCTGGGGTTGGTGCTCGAGAACCAAGATATCAGGGATAATCATATTTTTGCGATTTACCCAATATATCTGTGTACTGATTCCTTTAGAACTTAGAAGTAATTTAGTGCGATGCAATGAGTTAAAGGAAGAATTGACCTCATTTATAATGAGTGTTTGTGTTTGTGTTACAATATTATAAATATTTGGAGAACACATAAATATTTATATTCCTATGTCGATACCTATTCTACTTGTTAGACCTTTCTTTCTATTTTGTTGAGCATCTTTTAGTTTAAACTTACTTTCTATTGCATATTGTTCTGTCCTGATAAATACTTTTAGATGTTTGTGATAGATAGAATTTCTAAACTATTTTTCTTCCTGCTTATATTTTTTGTATTGAATGTTATACATGTTTAAAATCAACTTTGGTGGTAGGAAGAAAAATAAATTTTAAATTTTGTATATTCATTTTAGGTTAATATTATTGCAAGCATGTTTTAGGCAGATTTACTTTCTCCTGTAGTCATTCTATCTTGATTATGCACATATATGAATTTAATAGGAAATTGTAGTAGTAAGTAGATTCAACTTATTCTTTTTCTTCCTGCTACATTTTATGAAATTAATTTCAAAATATTAAGTGTAATATTTAAAATATTAAGTGTAATATTTAAAATTTCAAGTTTGGGGGGAAGAAAAATTTCTTTTAAAAAGAAGTAAACTAAATTTTATTTGTCCTAAATTAACTATATTTTTAAAATTAATTTAAAATAACCTTCGATATTAGAGTTTAACTTTAAATGACTACATTTATATTTGTAAATATTATGGTAAATTTAGGTAAAAGTTTGTAATAATGATGGTCAATTCTAAAGTTGAAGATATTTAGTATGAAAGGATAAAACTATGTTTTTCTATTTCAAGTAAAGAAAACTGTATTTTGAAGTATTAAGAATTTTAGAATTTCATGTAAGAAGAAAAGAATGAAACAATATGAAAAATTATAAACTAATATGAATTTATAAAGTGAAGAAAGGTAAAACATTTTAACTTTATGAAGACGATAGTAAAGTTCAAAATTATTAAAGGCTATCCAGATATAGTAATCCTCACTTGAAAAGAAAAAGAAAAGAAAGGATTGAAAAGATCCTAAATGAAAAAAAAAAGAAAAGAATGTGAGGAGAAGCTTGAGGAGATGCCTAATCAAAAATTGGTTTCACTTGAATCAATTTGAGGAAAAGCCTTAATTACATTTTCTAAACTTGTATTGGAGTATTAGTAACATTACAAGAAGAGTTTCCATGAAGTTCTTTTTCATATGAATGTTCTAAATATCCTTAATATGATAAATTGCAATTCATCTTGAATTGAATAGAGATTTAGAAATCTTAAATTTGAATACTAAGTAATCTTAGACTTAGAGTCTGAATTTAAGTTATTAAAGTTTTTTCTTAAATTTTAATATTTTATTTATTAAACTAAAGATAGAAACTTATAAGTTAATCTCTATCCTAAGTCATAATTTTTTGTACTAAAAGGGTTACTTGAGGACAAGTAATGTTTAAGTTTAGGAGAGTTGAAACGCCTAAAAATTACCTACTTTTTTCATATATATTTTATTCTCAGTTTTAATGATTTTTAATGAAGCAGAAATGGTGTAATTTGAAGTAAGAAGGAGCAAGAAAGAAAATTCTGACTTTGCACATTTCGATATGTATTTCTACACTTTATCTACTTTAAATTTCTCAAATGTTTCCAAATAAAATTACACTTTAAAGAAAGGTTGTTTTCTTGCTTATTTTGTAGCAAAATCTGTTAGGAGAAAAACACAACTGAAACAGGGTAAAACGGAGCTTAAACGAAGCCAAACAAAGCAAAATGGTGGAGCTGCATGGAAATTTGTGTGTGTGCGTGCATCATATACGTCAAAATCACCAAGCTGTCATCCATCTAATGAAACAGAATGTATCAACATTTATGAAATGTTGAAATTTACCGAAAAAAATTATAATGTAACACATAAGTTCCACAGGAGAAAGACGCGAGAAACTCACCTGTGTGTGAGGTGATAACATGAGAAAATAGAATGGACGAGAAGAAAAAAGAAATTGGCATGCACGTGTTTTCCATTTCTAATTCAAGGATTGTTGATCAAAGGTGACCAAGGTTGAGCCTCATAATTGGCAAGAAAAAATGAGCATGGGAAACTAACAAGATCTATACAGTCAAGAAAAATCTCTCTCATGATATGAATGAAAGATAATCATTAAATTTTGGACCTATGAAAAATCTCAAACCAAGTCTACCCTCACAAAGTGAGTGTGATATCTAGGGTGTATCCAAGATATTTAATTTACCTTCTAAATAATTTAACCAAAAACCATACTCTTAGGAGAATTGGGTGCAAATTTTTGCCATCATACCTAACTCACCATCTGCCTAATTAAACCTACTTGCTTAGTTTACTATATGGAGTACCTAATATCATAACATAAATGGTGAATAATTGAGAAATTAAAAGTTCAATTGATCATATCTTAACATACAAGGATGAAAAACATACCAAAAACAAGGAAAGTGGAATGCAGCTGCAGAAGCAGAGGATTTACAAGAACAAAACATGCAACAGACCTTCACAAGAAGGTTACTAAACTTGAGAGCAACATCATATATTGAAAAAAGAAGAGAGAGAGAGATGATGATAGATTATATATAAGATATTGTATTACAAGTTAGAAATCAATAAATAAGTACCTTCGACAAATGACCCAATAAATAATATAAAATGTCCAATACAGAGCAGGAAACCTCTTGCAAGTCTTCAGCTTCCTTCAAGCCATACCAAGCGCTTAAACTTGATTTCTTGACATGATTTATGATCATAACATGCATGAGAACATGGTTTCTGTATAATAGCAATTGATAAAGGATATTTCAAGGATCACTGACCTCCAATGCTTGTTCTGATATATACAAAAGCCGACATAAGCTACTAAGAATGGAGGAGTCAAAATATAAAATGTCCCGGATCAAGTGGCCAGGCATGTGAGAGCCTCTGGCACCATTAACACAACTTTTCATCACATTTAAAACCTATATTAATAATGAATATAAGATTAAGAGTGCAATATAAATCATAAAGAAAGATTCAGATTGCAATATGAAAATAATTTTCTTGCACACCGAGCACAATAGTCAAACCATGCTAGAAAGAACATAAACAGACATGGTATCCTTTTTTACACCCCTCATCACTTTTGGTTGAATTTTGAACTACTTTTCAATATCAACATAAATTAAAAGTAATATAAAAGATAATATTATTTTTATTTTAGATAATTAGAATAAGTCCATCTTCACTTTGAGATCTATTTATTAAAAAATTACACCAAGTAGTGTACATAGATTGCTACAAGTTCTCTATAAGAAATCTTCCTCCTTATCTCTAGCTAGGTACATGAAGTTTTTCCTCTCAAAATAAATACCTCCATGTCCAATGAACAAGTAGAGAAATACATTAACCTCTGCCTGATTTGGTATAAGAAAAAATCAGCTACTAGTTTGCACGAGTTGATCAATTTTCTACAAGTCTACACTTTCTGTGTATTAAATCTTATCGTATCCCCAACCTGAGGAAACATATGCAAATGCCAAAATGTTCAACCACCGCCCCCTCTTTCCATGCAGCTTACGAAAACTATTATGAAAAATAGACAATTATATAAGTCCATGCCCCTCATGTTATATCTAGGGCTTGAGGAGGAATTTTTGCATCTAGGGCTTGAGGGGAGTTTTTGTGTTGTGTGTGTGTGTGTGTGGGTGTGTGTGTGTGTGAGTGAGTGAGTGGCATGAGAGTGACAGAAAGGGCTTGGAGATTTTCTTCAAAGATTTTAAGAGGGGAGGGAAGGTGACAAACTTCTTCTTCATTACATTTCTAGGAGAGAATTGAGAGTGCTTGAATGGAGAGAAAGGCTTGAAGAGAACTTTTAGGGATCTGCTTGGGAAGGATTGTGAGATAAGTTGTGCCTTTTTTTTCTTTTATTTTGTAAACTTGTGTTAATTAATGAAATTTGTGTTTTGTCATGTCCTTCTCATGAATTTTGAGTAGTCTTTTATATCTTTCTCCCGATAATGAGTTGTGATGAATTGATTTTGTTTTATGTGATTTTAAATGTTAATTTGTGATGCTTTGAACTCTGATCATCATTTAATTTTTAATTTAGCCAATTGAAATGTTAAAATGTGTTGAGAAACATATGTTCCAAAAGGGCAAAAGGGCTATGATGCTATGATTTCTACAACACGGGGAGAATCACATTTGATTTCATGGGAGAGTAATTCATCAATTGGGTTGAGTGCAAATAAATAGAGAAATATACTTTGTTGGAAGCAGAATTGAAGATTTCAAGGTGATAGATTAAAATCCCCAAATTGGTTCAGTTGATTGGAAATTGATGCAAAATTTTTAGCTCTCAAGTGAGGGAGTAGTGAGAGCTCTAGAGTTGCAGAAGGTATCCTCCTAGCCTAACCACAAAATTATAAACCAAACTCTGGATTAGTCAATGTTCTTTATGCACTTGGAAGAGGGTAAAGAATAGAATTGCTCCTATTTGGCACAAAATAATTTCATATATTTTTAAATAATTTTAATTTCTTTACAATCCATATACTCATTTTAAATGGGAAGGATATTTTTTTAACTTGAACTTTTCATCACAAAACTTATTTTAGTCTTAATAAATTTAACTTTGATGTTTTGAAATTAGTTTAGTAAATTCTGTTCTTTTAGTTACTTTTCTCTTAGCATTCATTAAACCTATTTTAGCATTTCCTTCTTACTTTAATTTTTATAGTTACTTTAATTTTTATAGTTTTTAATTTTTATAGTTTTAATATTGTGATTTAAGTTATTATCATAAGAATTTTCATCTTCCAAAACTAAGACTTTATAGTAGTAAACTATAATTAGCCTAAGAGATTTCTTACTACGCTTCTCTGTGAAATCGATACTGGGGTTTTTGAAAAAAGCACTATATTACTCGAAGCAATACGTGCAGTTGCATAGAACCACTAGTCTGTGAACTATTTTATATATTTTATAACATTTTGATTTTGCACATTAACTATTTAATATAAATTGGGTCAAGTTATTAGTCGTATTTTTTAAAGCAAAATTAATGCGTAAATTTCGGGATGAGTCAAGTTTTTGGCACTATTACCAGGGATTTAAATTGACATAAAACATGTAAAAAAACAACACGCACTATAGGGGCATCACTCGACAATCTCAAAGGATCCCCACGGAAGAACTGGAAAGAATGAACAAAGTTAAGAAACGAGAATTTAAATTTTATGAAGAAATACAAGGAAAATTTGTCAACATCCTAGAGAACCTAGAGTTGTTTACAGGAGTTTTTCCTCAAAATGATGAAAGAAGAATTCTTGACTGCATATTCAACCCAAGAGACAGAGGTCGAGCTAGTTTGCTAATGATGAGAACCTATTCAGAACCACGAAAATGGATGCGCGGAAAAGGCAGGATAATTATCCAATGTGGCTGCTGCTACAATTTCACTGATTATAGGCAAGGGAACCCCCCAGGTAACCTCAGATATGACGAGGTAGATCCTATGCCTTCTGAGATAAAGAGTATGATCAGAAGGATGGTGATACACCTAAAATATATAGTATTTTTAGACATTTAGGATACACCTAAAATATATAGTATTTTTAGACATATTTTTATATCTATTTTTGAGATATTGTGCTTTAATGGAAGATATTTTTGTGTTTTTCTTACAGATACAAATAAAAAGGAAGAAAATTGCTTACAAGGAGTGAAAAAAAATCAAATTTGGAGCAAAAAGGTGAAAATCAAAGTTGGAGCAAAAAGGTGAAAAATGTGCAAAAGTGTTTTGGCGCCTAAGCGTCATATCCAACGCTTAAGCGCTAGTTAAACAGAGAAGGCTGCGCCTAAGCGCCAGAGGCCCCAGACTTAAGTTTTAGTGGCAGTTACTGGACAAGTAAATTTAGTTTCTGCGAATTTTGAATAGGTTTTTGAGGCATTCATTGACTTAATATGTGGTTATAACCACCATGGACAAAAATTATCACTAAAGGATGCATCTCTTGAGGTAATTCATCGAATCTAGACATATTTTGAAGAGAAACTAAGGTATCTTTTGGAAAATTATAAAGGAATGAAGATTGGGACTTTGAAAGAGGTCCTGAAAGTATTGGAAAGTTTTGAAAGTTCTCATTTGGGGAGTTAGTTTGGAGAGAATTTCAGGCACCACTTTTGCTTTTATTTTATCTTTTTTGTTATTTTATTTTGAGTGATTGTAAAGAGAAAATAATCAAATGAACTTCAAGAGTTTTGTGGAGGACTTGAGATAAGTTTTTATTTTTCTGTTTTGAGACCACTTTTACAACCATTTGACAGAAAGGAGCTAGTCCAGAAATTTGGGAATTTACCTTCTCCACAATCTCTTCATACTGTGTTTGCTTTCTTCTCGCTTTGATAAGTTTTATGCCCAGGTATTTAAATGGGAGATCAGTGATACACCTAAAATACATAGTGGAGAGTATTAATCTTTAATGTTGGAAGAAGTTATGATGATTTAATTTCATGCACTTCATTTACTTCTTGATTTGGTCTATCTAGATGTTAAAATTTGTTGTGAGAACATGTAAGAACAGAGCTGGGTATTGTCTCAGTCAACAATTGGAAATAATCACATGAGGTTATATGAATGAGAATATATTTCATATGATTTAGTGCAAATAAATAGGGAAATAATCTTTGAAGAATGTAGAGTTAGAAGACTTTAAAGTAATAGTTTAAAGCCCCCAACTTGGTTTATTATTTTAGATTCTCATAGGAGATGTTAGCCCCCAGGTGGAGTGAATCGAGGGAACTCTAGAGTGAGAGCTAGTATCTTCCCTGCCTAGCCGGTCTTCAGAACTATTCAAACTTTAAATTAGCCAATATTCATTATAGCATCTCTAGTAAGGGTAAAGAATATTATTGCTCTTAATTAACATAACATAATTTGCATAGTTCCACAATAGAATTCTTATACTTATTACTAATTCATAACAAGAAGAAAGATATTTTCATATTTAGTGCTTTTCTTCCACAAAAACTCTAGTTAAATTGTTATTGTTCTATCAAAATATTGAAAATACCAAAAATTTTTTAATTTTCATTACTGCAATAATCATCTTTATTTTAGATAATTATCTTTTTATTAAAAATAGAAAGTTTGTTGTTCAATAGTGCATATTGCGTATTCTCCCTGTGGGTTTGATATTCAAGTCTTAATCAAAAAGTCATATATTACTTGATAACAATACGTATACTCGTGTAGTATCCCAACATATATAAATTAAAAGTTAAATTATTATTTTTCTTCAGGATCAAGTTGTTGGTTTTTGAAAAATATCATCAAAGACATTGTTATACTGTTACATATAAATAGTAGGGATCATATTTTTGGCGTCGTTGAAAAATCGAAAGATAATTGATTAAAAGCAAATTTTTATTTTAGAAAGTCTTATTTAAACTTTAAAAGTTATTGTCGAAATATCTTATTATAGTATTTTATTTTTTTTTGTGTTTTGTTGTTTATTTTATTTTATTATATGTTAGTATATGTGTAATTCAGGTTCTGAAGAACTAGTGCCCTACAATTCTGAATTAGAAAGAACTATTAGAAAAATCAGAAAAACCAAAAAAAAGTATAAATTTTGAAAAATCCAAAAAAAATTACAAAAATGACAGACCAAAATAATCAAAATGCTAAAATTCGTCAAGAGTTTAGACTTTTAAGAGATTATGTCAACCCTACTGTAGGTGAACTTCATTGTAGTATTCAAAAACCTACTGTAGTGGTTAATTCATATGAGCTTAAACCTGCTATTATCCAAATGATATCAATAATCAGTTTGGGGGATCACCAACTGAAGATCCAAATTTACATCTTGCTAATTTTCTAGAATTGTGCGCTACATTTAAATACGATGGTGTATCAGATGATGTCATAAGACTTAGGTTATTTCCTTTCTCAATGAGGGATAAAGCTAAGATGTGGTTCAATTTGTTAGC